ATTGGCTTTGAAAGAAGAAATAGAAGAGAAAGGGCTTACAGACCTATACAGGGCTTTATACCCCCAAAAGAAAGAATACACATTCTTCTCCAGTGCACACACAACATTTTCCAAACTAGACCATGTGCTAGGCCACAAAACATATCTCAATAGAATCAGGAAGATAGAAATAGTATCAGCAATTTTTTTCAGACTATGATGCACTGAGAATAGAAATGAATCACACACAGACACGGAGAACCAAATCAAACACCTGGAAATTAAACAACTCAATGCTGAACAACGAGTGGGTGAGGAAGGAAGTCAAAAACGAAATCAAAAGATACCTGGAAAGAAATGAGAATGAAGACACGAGCTACCAGAACCTATTGGATGCAGCTAAAGCCATATTAAGGGGAAAATTACAGCTCTGCAAGCATTCTCAGGATGGAGGAAAGGACCCACATAAACAACTTGACTTCAAAACTCAAGATCGTAGAAAAGGATCAACAGAAGGAGCCCAAATCGGGGATAAGGAAAGAGATCATAAAGCTTAGAGCAGAAATCAACGACATGGAAACCAAATAAACAATCCGAAAGTACAAAGAAACCAAGAGCTGTTTTTTCGAGAAAATAAATAAGATAGATAAACACCTAGGAACACTGACACACAAAGAGAGAGAGAGAACCCTAATAAAACGAATCAGAAATAAGAATGGGGATACCATGACAGAAACCAAAGAAATTCAAAAGATCATCAGAGACTATTTTGAAAGTCTGTATGTGATGAAACAAGAGTACTAGAAGAAATGGACAAATTCCTATAATCTCCCAAAGTTGAATCAAGAATATTTAGAGTACTTGAATAGACCTATTAAAATCAAAGAAATTGAAACTGTAATCAAAAGTCTTCCCAAAAACAAAACCCCAGGTCCAGATGAATTCATCAGCGAATTTTTCCAAACATTTAAAGAGGACCTATTACCAGATCTTCTCAAGCTTTTCCATGAAATTGAAAAACCAGAAACTCTCCCAAGCAGTTTCTATGAAGCCCATATCACTCTCATATCAAAAGGAACGAAAGACACCACAAGGAAAGAAAACTACAGGCCAATATCCCTGATGAACACAGATGCGAAGATTCTCAACAAAATACTAGCAAATAGTATTCAGCAACTCATCAAAAAGATCATACACCACGACCAAGTGGATTCATCCCGGGGATGTAAGGATGGTTTAACATTCGGAAATCAATCAACATAATCCATCATATCAATTAAAGAAAAGATATAAATCATATAATCATATCAATAGATGCAGAGAAAGCACTTGATAATATACAGCACCCGTTTATGATTAAAACCCTCGCCAAAATGGGGATAGAGGGCACTTTCCTCAATATAGTTAAAGCCATCTACCAAAAGCCTACAGCAAGCATCTTTCTCAATGGGGAAAAAATTAGAGTCTTCCCTCTAAGATCAGGAACGAGACAAGGATGCCCACTCTCTCCACTGCTGTTCCATAGAGTACTGGAAGTACTTGCAATAGCGGTAAGGCAAGAAAAAGATATTAATGGCATTCAGGTAGGAAAGGAAGAAATCAAGCTCTCACTATTCTCAGATGATATGATATTATACTTAGAGAACCCTAAAGCTTCTACCAAGAAACTCCTAGAAACAATAGAATTATATAGTAAAGTTGCAGGCTATAAATTCAATACCCAAAAGTCCATGTTTTTCCTATAAGCAAATAGTGAGAGAGAAGAAAGTGACACGAAACAAAAAAAAATCCTGTTCACAAATGTGCCCCAGGAAATCAAGTACCTAGGAATCAGCTTAACTAAGGTAGTAAAGGACCTATACAAAGAAAACTACAAAACGCTACTTCAGGAAATAAAAAAAAGAAATGAGGAAATAGAAAGATATCCCCTGCTCATGGATCATGAGAATTAACACTGTCAAAATGGCAATACTCCTGCAAAGCGTTGTACAAATGCAATGTGATCCCTATAATGATACCAATGACATTCTTCAAAGATGTGGAGCAAACACTCCTGAAATTCATATGGAACAATAAGCACCCACGAATAGCTAAAGCAAATTTTGAGAAAAACAATGGGAGGAATCAATCTCCCAAACTTCAAACTCTACTACAAAGCAGTAATAATTAAAACAGCATGGTACTGAAACAAAGGCAGGGTTGCAGACCATTGGAATGGGGTTGAATATACTGACATCTCCCCCCAAACATATGATCATCTATTCTTTAATAAGGGAGAAAGAAATGTGAAGTGGAGTAAGGAAAGCCTATTTAACATATTGTGCTTAAAAACTGAACAGCGACATGCAAAAAAATCAGCTCAGATCTCAGCCTAACACCATGCAAGATCAAACTGGATTAAAGACCTCAACATCAGACAGGAATCCATAAGGTACATTGAAGACAAGTTTGGTAAAACCCTCCAAAACATTGAATCGGTATCTTCAAATATGACACACGACTGGCAAAGCAAGTGAAATCAGAGATAGACAAATGGGATTACCTTAAACTACAGAATGGGAAAGGATATTCTACCAATAATCATCTGTCAAGGGGTTTATATCAAGGATATACAAAGTATTGGTTGAAATTCAGAAGAAGAAAACATCCAACCCCATCAAAAAATGGGGCGACAAAATGAACAGAAATTTACTAAAAAAAGAAATCCGAAAGTCTAAAAGGCACATGAGAAAATGCTCTACATCACTAATCATCAGGGAGATGCAGATAAAAACAACAATGAGATATCATCTCACACCACTGAGACTGGCCCGCACCCAAAAGAATAAAAGAAACTGGTGTTGGCATGGATGTGGCAAGAAAGGGACCCTCCTTCATTGTTGGTGGGGATGCTGACTGGTTCAGCCCTTTTGGAAAATAGTATGGACAATTCTAAAAAAATTGGAAATTTAGTTTCCATTTGACCCCACAATACTTCTCCTGGGAATATATCCCAGAGAGACAAAAAATTACAGTCAAAATGACATCTGCACTTCTATGTTCATTGCTGCACTATTCACAATAGCCAAAATCTGAGAAAAAAAAAAACAAGTGCCGGAGAACAGGTGACTGTTTACAGAAACTTTGGTACATATACACAATGGAGTACTATGTAGCTGTTAGAAAAGATTAAGTCATGAAATTTACACACAAGCTGTGCAACATGAAAAGTATCATACTAAATGAGTCAGAGAGGGACAGACATAGAAAGATTGTATTCATCTGGGGAATATAAAGTAACAAAATAGGAGACTAACATCCAAGAATAGCCCAGATAAGTACCAGGATGTTCACTCCATGGCTTGGAGGACAGCCGCACATGCTAGGGGAAAAGGCAACTCAGATAGACATAGAGAATGGAGCATCAAGTAAAGGGTGTTGGGCGGATCTCCCAGGAGGGGAGACACATGTTGAAATTAGACTTTAGACCGAATATGATTGCCACTCAATGCCTCTTTTGCAAACTACAGCACCCAAAAGGAGAGAGAGAACAAAAGGGAATGCCCTGCCACGGAGGCTAGGTGGGATGGGGGTAATGGGGAGTTGGAGGGATACTGGGATCATTGGTGGTAGAGAATGGGCACTGGTGGAAGGATGGGTACTTGATAACTGAAATCCAAGCACAAAAATTTGTAAGTATATAATTTTACCCCATGGTGTTTCACTAATAAAATTTTTAACAAAAGAAATAAAATTGTGCATAAAAAAGTTGTATACTAATGAAATAATTCTAAATTCTAATTCATGAGAGGCACCATGATTTACTCTAGATTTTCTAAAATATTCAATATAAATACATATAAATTTTAGTGAAGCAAAAAAGTTTTTTATTGAACAAAATTTAGAAATATGTGAGAGAGAGAAAGAGAGGGTATCATGTTCAGGAATGGATGTGGGCTTCTCCAGTGAGGACCAGAGCAGAAAGAGCAAGTCATGCATTCAAGGGTCAACATGAGCCTGACATAGCAATCCTCAATTGTTATTTTTCACATATATTGATTCACAAAAAATAACATAATACATATCCTTTCAAATTGCCCTTTAATAACTCTTTCATTTTCAGTCTTTAGAGTAAAGCAGAATGTAACACAGGACAATGGGAGAAGTTGAAAACTACCTTTGCATAGAAGGTATAAAATAAAATTAAAGGTATAAAATAAAAATAAATATTTTTTTCTTTAAAAAACTTCTTTTGCTTTCAGTCATAATAGAAAGCAGTTGCTCCCTTTAAAATATATATGTTGGATTGTAAGTGAAATGGGAGCCTCAAACAATGATGCCAAGTGTGAAACCGTCACTTACTAGTGAAGTTCCAAAGAGTTCTGGAGAGGTGCAGGTCATGGAAGAGACTGAGTGAGGACCAGGGTACTCAGAATCACGAAGGGGTGAGGTTCGTCAGAAATTGGGGGCCTGCATCCTGGCACCCTTATGTGGCATTCTGCTGACTTGAAATGTACTTGTAAAGGGTTTCCAATCAAGTTAGTTTTAATAAATATATTAAAGTGTATTTTAATAAATAGCACAGTAGAACTGAAAAAACAAATAAAGTATTTGAGGTAATAATAAATAGTAATAAAGGAAAGAAAGGAAAATTGCAATTTGTGATAATGAAATTCACGATAATAGTGTCTTCAGTGACTATAAATTTCATAGCATGAGACCTGTGGTTATGCAAACCTATACCTGGATTCTACTCTAGAAGAGAGAATGCAAATTAGTAAAAAAAATAAACAGTGAATAGAAGGAGGTTTATCTGTATGTAACTGTAGGTTTGGATATCAATCAGTCACAAAAAAATGGGAGAGTTGCAATTGAAGGGGAATAATAGTCCGACAAACAAAAATATTTGTTATCCACGCCAGTGTGTATTGAAAAATAGTCTCAGATGTAACAACTTAGACATTCAAGACAAAGATCACTAGTGTCAAATGCCAATATGAAAGCAAAGACGGGTGTATATGCACACGTATACAAAAACTCACATTCTGCAAACTTAGCTGGAGTTGCTGTTTGTAAGGGAGGAAATCCTGTGTGAGTTCCACGGTCAAGCTATTGGAAATGAATAGGCTATGAAGAAAAGCCAAGACCTGAAAAAAATGCATGTAAAAATAACTTTATCACCATTATTCAAAAAGAGGAAACAGATGAACAGTAATAAAACACAGTGACTCACCCAGTATAATGTTTAAAGTAGTGACAAGACTACACACAACTATCATCATGATAAGAGCTATATATTTATATATATTTATGTAATAGTTATATAGTTATAATTATTATAAATAATTACTAATTTATTTATTCATATTTCTTTTAGATAGCAGGTGAAGTTATACTTTCACAGTATATGGACTGACAATGCCTTGTCTTTCTGTATCCTCAGGGCAGGTAGAGAGTCACGGTCACATGGTTACGGTCCTCCTGTTATTCATCGATTTGCTCAAGCGGGCCCAGTAACGTCTCCATCGTAAGATTGTTGTTACTGTGTTTGGCATATTGACTATGTCACAGGTAGCTTGCCAGGTTTTGCCATGCGGGCAAGATATTCTCGCTAGCTTTCAGGGCTCTCCAAGAGGGGCGGAGGAATCAAACCCAGCTCCGCCGGGCTGGCTGCGCACAATGCAAACACCCTACTGCTGTGCTATCACTTCAGCACAGGTACAGAGTGATACTCATTAAATATTTAGCTAATGAATGGATAACTAAATAGACAAATGTACAGATGAATGGAGTAAGATTCTATACATTAATCAAGATGATCATTTTGATAAAGAACAAAAAGTCATTTTAAAGTGTACTTTATTTTAAAATAAGTAATATTTCAGGGAGTTCAGAACAATGCATAAAATGATTAATAAAATATATTTTAAATGTTCAGAATATCCCATCTCATTAAGTATTAAAAACATGTAAATAAGAAGAAAACAAAAGATAGGGATATAGCTCACTAGGTCCTTTCATAAGGAACTAGTTAGGCCAGCAATATTTTTCTAGCTTTGACTAGTGCAATAAGTTCAATTAGTTTCCTTTTCTATATTATGGTTTCTTCAAAGTCATTCATGACACATTAAAATCAAGTATGTTATTTTCAGTTTAACACTCATCAGTGGCCTTCTGCCAAATTTGATCTAAAATCCAAACCCCTGACTATGCCTATAGTTCCTATGGTTTGCTATAAAACTTCTTCTTTCATGTACTTAAGTGCATTTATCATCTTATTTTTTGAGCAAACCATTTTTTATAATTTATTTATTTATTGAATCACTGTGGGAAAAGTTACAAAGCTTTCAGGTTTAGGTCTCAGTCATGCAGATATCAAACACATTTCCCTTTACCAATACTTATTTTTTACCATGAAGAACCCCAATAAAACCCCACCTACAATCCCTCTCAATGCATGTGAGGCAGATGAATTCTAGTTAACACTCTATCTACTTTGACTAGATTCATTGTTTCGATAAAAGATGCATCATTATTATTTAGAGTTTACCCCCCACCCAAATCAGACATGATGAAAAAGTGTTGTGAAATGATTGAGCAAACCATTTTTTTAATAAATTAATAGCTATACAAATGTGTGACTCTGTGCCTGAAATGTTCTTTTCCCAGTGTTAATATGATCTCATCTTTTCTATCCTTAGGTCTAAATGTCATTTTTAATGGTTCACCCTGACCACTTGAACTAAAGTTGCTGTCATACTGATTATTAATTTAAAGTCGTTTTTTTCTTTTGGGGGGCGCTTTTTGGGTCACACCCAGCGATGGTCAGGGGTTACTCCTGTCTCTGCACTCAGGAATTACTCCTGGCGGTGCTCGGGGGAAAATATGGGATGCTGGAAATCGAACCCGTGTCAGCCACGTGCAAGGCAGTTACCTTACCCACTGTGCTCCAGCCCCTATTTTAACTCTTATCAGGATTCATAATAATTTAACTTAAATTTGTCCTGTTTTCCCTTCTATTCTCTGAAAATGTTATTTCTATAAAACACAAACTTTGTTCACCTTGTTCAGTATAATAGAAAGAAACTGAGTATATCTTTTGAGTATTGAGTATAACAGAAGCTCAATAAATGTTTATTGGATAAATGGATAAATATGTTTGCACATATACAGATAAAAACAACTATGAACATAGATATAAATGTAAACATACATGTCCATGGGCAATATATACTTTTTTTTTTGCTTTTTGGGTCACACCTAGAGATGCACAGGGGTTACTCCTGACTCTGCACTCAGGAATTACTCCTGGAAGCACTCGTGGGACCATATGGGATGCTGGGAATCAAACCTGGATTGGTCGCATGCAAGGCAAACACCCTACCCTCTGTGCTATCGCTCCAGCACCTACTTTTAAAACACATACATTTACACACACAAATATATTTATACATATGGTCCAGAGAAATAGTTCAATGGGTAGGGGTCTTGCTTGCACATGGCTGACCAGGGTTCAATCCCTTACACCACATATGGTCTCCCAGCCCACTAGGAATAATCCCTGAATTTACAGTTGGGAGTAACTTCTGGGCACTGATGGGTGCAGTCCAAAAATTATATATAAATATACACATACATATATGTATATACATGTATATGTGTATATATATGCATACATGTATGTGTATATGTATATATATGTGTATGCATAGATATACAGAAATATATATACATATGCATACATATATATGTGTTTTTATTTTTACATACACAAACACACACTAAATATATATGATTATGGTTTTATATATATATACACACACAAACACAAACACACCTATATTTACAAGTACACATGAACACATTGAAAGAAAAAAAAAAACCTACACAGAGAATAGAGGATTTGGAAAGAGGACTGCCCTAATATTTACCTATGTATGGGGGATTTGTGCCTTTTCTGTTTCTTCTAATAACATTTCCCTAACTTTTCTACAGCAAAAATACACATCTTTTAATTTTAAAATCAGAAGAAATTTGAGGGGCTGGAGTGATAATACAGGGGTTAAGGTCTTTGCCTTGCATGTAGCCAACCTCAACTCAATAACTGGCAAAACACAGTCTCCAGGAGCAGTCTCCACTGGGTGTGACCAGAACAGAGTCAGGAATAGTTCCCAGCCCCAGAGCGTGTGTCCCCAAACCTCCCAATAAAAAGTTAATAAATCTCAACATACTTTGTTAAATCAAAGTTCATAGACTTTACATTAAATTATAAAATTTAAGTGGGAAATAAATAAGACAGGAATTGATTGAGTGTAAGGTACATAATTTCCTAACAAAGCATGAAATAATGATGGGTATTTTTGAAAACTTTCTCCTGGAACTAAGAGAGTGACTAAAGGGAGAAGAATATTCTAAGGAGAACAGTAATGGAGAAATAAGGGAAGAAAAAATGATAGCCAGAGGAAGAAATTAAAAAGAAACTAAAGATCGAATAGTGAGGTAAAGAAAAAAAAAAACAGGATGTTAGCAAAAAATCAAGTATATGTCAGAACATATAGTTAATTAACTGTATTAACCATAAATACCCTCCCTTTCTTTTGAGATAACAATTTAATGATCAAAGTTGCTCACATTTACCCTAAGATTTAGAAAATATTTTGAGACTATTTATCAATAGACAGAACTTACTGGCTCCACAATATTGAATTTCTTGGACTCTTGAACTTCCTGGATTTGATAAACATAATCAAGAGAAGACTCAAAGAAATTGTGCTTCTCCTTGTCCACCTGAAGATCTGCCTGTAGGAGAAGGGTAACATATCATAAATCTGCAAGTCTGTGTTTAGATATTCAGCAGAATGTTAGAACTAGATAATTTAGCCACCAAATGGTGATTTTTAAATTTGTATTGAAGCAATACTGCTCTAAAACAGTCTAACTATTTTGGGTATACACTGTTTTAAATTAAACTATGTTCACTAAATAAAATTATAGTTTTCGTTCATCATCAAACAGCCCATCCCTTTTATCAGATTTATCTACTCACCTTTTACTTTCTTTTGTTAATCATTATTGTATACTTCAAGTATAAAGGTTTCTTTGTTTTTTACTTAATTCATTTGTATTATTTTTGACAGTCATTATAAGTCATATAAGTCAGTAAAATCATAACCAATATTATTTCCTTTTTTATGGAGAGGAAAATAATAGGAAAGAAAGTGACGAGTTTCTGATCCCAAAAGTAAAATGTTGAGTTACCATATCTGTATTCAATTAAGAAATAAGCTGAACAAGTTTAAAATAAAAAAATCTCCTCTTAAATACAACGAAGAATTAAAGTCGGAGGGAAATGATTCTCTCTCAAAAGCTGGATATACAGTTGAGATAGAGAAGGGTTCACTATGACAAAGAGAGTTAGAAACGATCACTCTGGATAAGAATCGCATACTGAAAACAGGTAAAGAAACAAACATGATAACTTCTCATTATCTGTATTGCAAAACATTATGTCTGAAAAAGGGAGGAGAAAGAGAGGGGGAGGGTGAGAGAGATAAAGAGACAGAGAGAGAGAGAATGAGTCCTTGCCATAGAGATAGGTGTGCTGTGGATGGCATGACGGAAACTAGGGACATTGGTGGTAAGAAATGTATAGTGGTGGAGGGATGTGAGTTGGAACACTGAATGACTGAAGCCAACAATAAAACAGCTTTGTAACTGCACATCTCACCATTATTCAATACAAAACTATAAAAAAATGAACACTGGATAGAGAGATGAAAACAGAGAAAAAGTGAATGCCAGAGGAGAAGCCCAGAAGCAAAAGTCTTTCACTGCAGGCAGTATCAGAACTTAGTTTTAAGAAGTCTCTAAGAAAATCCAAGAAAACAGGGAAGACAAGAACAACTATACCAGTGGAAATTTTAGTCTCTAAGAACAAGAGAATATCAAGTAGACTCATAAATATATATGTATATATTCAAGTAGAATCGTATATATGATACGTGTGTGTGTGTGTGTGTGTGTGTGTGTGTGTAACCTCACAGTGAAAGTTTGTTTACCAGGATTCAGGGGTATAGCTCAGCAGTAGAAAGATTTCCTTGCATATGTGAGGCAATGGATTCATTCCCTGTCATTGCAAAGAAAAGAAATAAATCCCTATTTATCTGTTTCTTTTATCCACAAAATCATGTACAGTTTTTAATAAACTATTATATATCACTCATAAAGGGAAAATAAAAGAATATACATCATCTAAATCTAAAGAATAAGTATCAAATTCTGAGCCAGATGAGGTAATGATAGTTGATAAATGAACCACAAAGAGATTATAGCAAGACCTCTAAAAATGAAGAAAAAAACAGATGAAGAATATAAGTGGAGTTACAGAAACATGAACAAATAATCAAAAGTAAAGGACAGAAAGAAAAAATCAGCAGAAATCAAGACTCTCTTTAATAGATTCAGTGAGATCGATATTGAAACACTGCCTAAAATTAAACTAAGAATAACTTTGTAAATCATGTTTACAATGTTCACATATTTACAATAACTCTGTAAAACAATAAAAAGTTTAAATCACTAGAAATAAAGACTATATTTAATTGATGCATCAACATAATGGATAAGGCTAAGAAAATAATTAGTAAACTTAAAGGTATGTCAATAGAAATATAAAAATATGAAATGATTAAATAGGTTGAGTAGAATATAAGCAAATCGAGCAAATATTTTTCTTAAAATTATTAGATGGTGGACAATTAGAAAAGGTGTACCACACACAGACCTCTAATGCCAGAAGAAAAATAGAATGACTACTGCTTACATTTTCCTGCAATCATGGCAAATCTTCACAAAAGATGGCTATATCTACATGGAAACTGACCTGAAACCTCAATATACAAAATTTCCACAAGGGATACACAGATTAAGGACATAGAGATATTCTAACCAGAAAAATATTATGAAAGTAGGGGGAAAAACCTGAAAATTGGAAGATATTTCTAAGGTACAGAAGTTTACCCTGGAGAGTAGCGGTCCAAATGTCAAACACTTGCAAGCCCAATCTTGAGATCGTATACTGATAGCACTAGTATCAGAGGCAAGAAATCAGGATGCAAATAGATGTCTAAATTGGCAGTAAGAGTCATCCTGAAGACTTATCACAACATTACTTATAACAGTGTTAATGAATGCCATATAGGATTTTATAGTCTGTTCCATAGTAACAGACTCTGAGGACTTATCTGAGGAGCTTTATACCCACATCCAACAAATAGCTGAGTTTCTTTGCAGTTGATGGTTTACTCCTTAGAAACAAACTGACTCAGTACCTACCAGTCCATAATTGAATTCTAGTAAGCAAGCAGCACACCTATAGACAGCACCCTGTGTATCTCTCAAATAAAGTCAATTAGCAAGAGTATTAGTACCCTGCCATCCACTGCAACTATGGCTCCTCCTATCAAATATGTCGTTGCATGGGTTTCTTCAGCACACTCTAGTTTAGCACAACCATAGCAGCCTAAGCAGCCACCATAAACCAGCATCAAAATGCTTAAACATTTTAATTTATTCTCTTCAAAGACCTTCTCAAACTAAGCACCCGCTGCAACTTGGGGCTTCATGACTCTGGTTGCCACCCATCAATATTTAATCTTGGTGTACCATTATCCTTAGGAAATCATTGCCTCCTCAAAGCCCTCTTCACCACCAAAGGACCTTAAGCTCCTGAGCATGGTTGGAGTAACTCTGGGGGCCCTGACAATTTAGGGCACAAGCAGCACTGCCTCTTCAGGTCCTATCACAAAACTGTTACTTGGTAGATAGAAAATTGCTGGGTGATCATTGGGACTCTGAGAACAACTTGGGATGTCTCCAAAATATTAAATTATAAAATATCATATATGGTTGCACAAAAAAATAAATAGTTACAAATCAACTTAAGGCAGGCAGTGAAATATTTTCTTATCAAATGATGTAAACCTTTGTAAAATAAATAGAAGATGTTTAATTCTTTTAATTGACAGAACATTTTTTACCATTTTATACTTCTTTTTTAGGAGTATAGATTCTCACTTCTTCAAAGGCTGCCAACCAGTACCACTGAACTGATATGTTACCCTTTTACAGTAGACATTTCCCTTCCAGAAAGCACTGTGTAATTGTCAAAATAAAAGTGTTTGACTGATTTTGTTTTGCTTGATGCTTTGCTTTGTTACTTTATATTACATATGAGTTAAATCACATGGTATTTGTCTTTCTCTTTCTGATATTTCTCTCTTTATGAGATAAATGACTTTACCTACTGTTAAATAGTAGATCTTAATATGAAGACAAACCTTCCTATCCAAATGTAAGTTGTTTCCTCCCCCAAAGTTTCCCACTCCTATAAGAAAAACACATACATTAAAAGTGCATAACAGTAATTTTATTTTTATTTTATCACACAAAATCTAAGTTGTAAAAGGGCAGAAAGAAATTTTTTTCATTGCCATAGTTTATATATAGTATTTCACATAGCATAGTATTTAACATGGGCTGGAGTGATAGCACAGCAGGTAGTGTGTTTGCCTTGCACATGGCCGACCCGGGTTCAATTTCTCCATCCCTCTTGGAGAGCCCAGTAAGCCACCGAGAGTATCTCAGCCACACGGCAGAGACTGGCAAACTCCCCGTGGCATATTCGATATGCCAAAAACATTAACAACAAGTCTCACAATGGAGACGTGACTGGTGACCGCTCGAGCAAATCGATGAACAACAGGAGGACAGTGCTAGAGTGCTACAGTATTTAACATATTGTAGGTGCTCAGAGGGGGCGGGTTGAGTTTCCCTCCCTTGCCCCAAGCAGAACCCCAGCAGCAGAAAACCTCCAGAATGGAACTGCAGCCGAGCTCAAGGCCACTCTCCACATACTCACACGAGCCCCACCCATGAAAGAACCGGCAGAGGAACCCAGGCATGTGGGACCCGTTGCTGAGATCTCCAAGCCTGCTCAGATCAGGGCTAGGCTTCCTCCACCTAGGTCCCCAGTTTTCCAGTATCTTGGCAGTCACACCCACAAACTGCCCATAGCCCACGTAATCTCATCAATGGCCAAGATCCAGAGATTATAAAAGAAATCTCCCAGAAGAGAGTGACACAGTATTCCCTGGAGTGCAAGGCCGCATTCTCGGCTGCACAACCTCTTATACTCTAGTGCACTGATGTACCTAAAGTAGCACACATTTGTTTGGTTTTAACATACTTGTTTGTATTCTCTTATATATGGGCTTAAATGGCTCCAGAATGAAACACAACAACCTTCACACACTTTCCTCTTACTGTGGTGGAAAGATGCTTGCTGGTTGGGTGGATGTTTGAATATTATCTGCAATGAACTATAGTGAACTACTTTATGAAAATAAAATGTATAAAAATCACAAAAAACATATTTTAGGTGCTTATTTTACATATTGTAGGTGCTTATTTAACATAGTGTAGGTGCTTACCAAAAGTGGCTTATTTGAATTGAACCTACTTCAAGTCCAATTAGATGTACCTAAGTTGTAGTCTGGTTCAGGATTTTTAAAAATCATGGAATATATTAGGAAATCTGTTTCTGATTTACAAACTCGAATGCAACTTTATGCTTTATTTCTGAATTCAGAAACCTAGTACTGAAAAGGCTTCAGGATCTCACGACATAAAACTCCTCTGACAGGAGTTTCCTTTTCTTTCCCCAATCTGAGCTGGTCTCTTCTCCCCACTCAGGTCAGTTTATCTGCCATTTCTGGAATGCGGAACTTGGAATTCAGCCT